CCCTGTGTGTGGAGTTTGCATGTTAGCTGTTCTCCGGGGGGGGGGGGTTCCTCTGGGTACTCCGTTTTCCTCCTCCAGTCCAAAGTCATGCACGGTGGGCTGATGTCCAAAATGTCCGCAGTGTGTGATTGTTTCCTGTGATGGATTGGCACCCCATCCAGGGTGTACCAGTGCTCCCTGGGATGCGCTCCAGGTTCCCCACAACCCGGCAGGATAAGTGGTATAGAAAATGGATGGATGGATGGATGGATGTTTGTACAGATGCTTGTGGTACCGAAGAAGGAATCGGACTTGTGAAGGACCACAATGTTTATTCCCCAGGTCTTGGCCGAGTTGCTTGAATTTCCCGAGGTAGGCACCGGCTCCAAAGGTAAGCAACTGGCTCTAACAGCCAATCAACTCGGCCAATCCGAATCCCCGGTTTAAAGAGACGGTCAACTCGGTGTATGTGACCAGCTTGATATATCTGACTGGTGATAAGGAACTGTCATTGATTTGTCTGATAAATAACGAATGGTGAAGAAACACAGTGAGGAGGTGACAGTGATACAGTTGAGTAATGTGAGAGAAAGAGTAAATAATTCGGTGTTGTTAATGTTTTTTTATGGTTTGAAAACGTTGTGGAATGATAAACAGGGTTTGCCAGCTTGCATAGATTGCCTATTTATTCGACCACTTGCCCGCTGTGTGAGGCGAGTTTGTCTCGTGCAGCCCCTCCCACCTGATCCAGGCGCGCCGCCGAGGAGAAGCGCGCGGGCGCCCCTCCCACCTGAACCAGGCGCGCCGCCGAGGAGAAGCGCGCGCTTCTCCTCGGCGGCGCGCCTGGATCAGGTGGGAAGGGCTGCACGAGACAAACTCGCCTCACACTCTTCAGTCGGCTAAACTCGGATAGCTGACGACACGCCACTTTTTAATGAATGAGCGAAAAGACTAAACTTGCTCCTCGGAACTTTTTCCTTCACTCCAGAACCCAGCGCGAGCTCTCTTCACCCGGCCCAGAGAGGCACTGAGATGCCCTCTGACTTCATATCACTCTTCGGCACGGATATCGACCTCACTTCCCCCAAGTCTCTTTACTCCAAAGGTAACTTGTTGTTGTTTCTCTGTCCAACTTGGGTCACTTTTAGGGGGTTGTTAACATAAAAAATGCGTGTGTTTTTTGTTTTTTTTAATCTCCTGTATACTTCTGTCGTGACGTTAAGTGTGAATTAAGACGCTATTTGTATGTATCGATGCCGTATGAGAGCAATTAAACGTTATAAATCATTGTCTGAAGGTTAAAATAAAAAAAAATTTAAATGACAGTTTGTTTTCAACGGTTTTTTTTAACCCCCCCGCTCAAGCTCGCGCACAGCGTCGCGTGGCTCGATTTGTTTGCGCACGAGGGGGCGTGACCGTATAGGGTGGGAGGCAGGGCTTGGCTCGTTGCTAGGCAACGAAGCCAGCTTTATTTCGCCGCCTTCTTAAACAGTTCTAGGAAACGAAACCTTGCGCATTGAAATAGCACGTGTTCGTCAACTTCTATAAAGATATATATATATATATATATATATATATATATATATTGTTGTGTAAACATCCCTGCTGACGTCACGTCCTGTTTGCTTGGATTCTCGATGCAAAATTTACTCCACTGTTTGTTTACTCGTACACACTAGAAGTGCACCAGGTCACTGCACGGATGTTTTTCAACTGAATTCGTGATGTAAATAAACACTTAGCTGGACTACAGCCAAGCTGAAGTTCAGTGACCTTGTTTTTTCTTAATTACAGTGCACTCAAGTAACCTTTAGCAGACGTTACATTGGGAACGGAAATGGGTGATGAGACTAAGAAGAAAACACCTGGGGCAGGTAGGAGAGTTAATCCAGACCTGGGCGAGCATTTACAAGTCGTGCATTGACCCTTTTTGTATATAAATATATATATTTTTTAAAAGACTAGGCGTAAGTAGTAAGAAGACTGAGGGTTTCCCAGATTGCAGTGAGGTGTTGAACTGGTAAAAAAATAAATAGATCAACTTTTACTAACCCCTGGGTCTGTACCATGAAGGTAGTTGAAGAAACTCAGGGTTACTGGATTAGTTTCGAGTTGACAAAACCAAACCGATCCAATCAGGCTTTATTGGTACCATGACGCTGGTTATCAACATACTCTGTCAACTCAGGCTTTGATCATTAAAGTGCACCTATTATGGGTTTTCAAATGCGACCTTTCATGTAGCGTGTTATAGAGCTGTTTGTGAGTGTAAAAACGTCTGCAAAGTTTCACAAATCAAAGCGCAGGACAAACGGAGTTCTCGACTCCCGAAAGAATTATGCAATTCTGAATAGCTAAAACGAGTCGTTTTTCCAGACCTACTGGTCCATGTTGGGTTTGAGTTCTCTTATCTAGAACATAAACTGCCCCGGAGAAGGTTAACATTGGAGCGTAAGTTACTATGGCGATGAACACCGGTTAAAGCTGAGCCACTTTTGTGGTACCTAAACCCATGGTTGGCACAAGCTAAATGAAACTTGCCTGGCTAGCCACTAAAACCGACTTCATGGTACAGGCCCTTGGTCTTTTGCTTAGTAACAATGCAGTCAAACTTTTCCTAAAGGCCGGAGGATGTGAACGATGTTGGACTTTTCTTGCACTAAACAAGTCATGTTGCACACTGATTTGAACAGTCGTCCTGAAAATTTTTTATGATTTTGATACAAACATTGTGACGCATCACCTGTTGACTTGACCCGTGGACTTAAAGGGGGTTAGAGAACGTTTGTTAGGAGTCCAACAGGTTTCATGAGGACAGGTAAGCCTGTGAGTGTAGATCATATGTTGGTCTTTATTGAAATCTTGAGTTGGTGGACCGCAGTCCCGATGCGGGCCCCGGAAAGTATTTCAGCAGACCAAACCGAGCACTTGAAACCTTAGGTACTGTAGCAGAGCTTACGTATGAGGGAAGGAGGAAAAAAAGGGGGGAAAACTGGCTGTCGTTCAGTAATTCTTGCTTTTCTAAACATGAACCGGCTTGGCCTCTGTAGCAGGTTTTCTGTTGAGGCTTATCCAATCACATGCTGAAGGCATCGGACCAGAGACTAGTTACAGCGCTTGATGCATTAGCTCAGAGAAGGGTGAGTTTTCACAGGCTTTTATAGATATTTCATTTCATTTACGCTCTGAGGTCTGATTTAGTAAAATGATGAAGTGATAATGGTTAATCATTAAAAGGTGACTATTGTCTCCATTCAGTCATGACAGTTGCTTACCTGGGTCAACTGGACCTTTTATACATTTACAACCTACACGCTACACTGTATGGCCAAAAGTTTGTAGACACCTCATCATAGCACTCATATGTTCCTTTTGAACGCCCCATTCCAGATTTAGTCCCCTCTTTGCTGTTATAATAAGCTCCACTCTTCTGGGAAGGCTTTCCACTAGATTTTGGGGCGTGGCTGTGGGGATTTATGTTCATTCAGCCATAAGAGTATTAGTGAGATCAGGCGCTGATGTTGGGCTGTCGAGGCGGTCTGTGGTGCAGTCTGGGTTCCAGTTCATCCCAAAGGTGTTCAGTGGGGTTGAGGTCAGGGGCTCCAACCTTGGCAAACCAATTCTTCATGGAGCTCGCTTTGTGCACAGGGGCATTACATGATTGAAAAGATTTGGGCCTGTTCGTTCCAGTGAAGGGAAATTTTGTACAGAATGGCTTTGTACGCTGTATCTTCACAATTGTGTGCTTTGGGAAGGGGAACATATGAATGTGATGGTCAGGTGTCCACAAACGTTTAGGCATATAGTGTGTATCTGAGCAGATGAGGGCTTTTCTTAAATGTACCTCCAAACTGCCTTTCCACAACGCACAGCTTTCTGGTCTTTAGAATCTTAACCACTGACCCATTATTATTGTCGTAAAGTAACTTGGTGTATTATGATGCGCAATATCCACTGAGCCCTTTGTAAGCTATTTCTTTTCGCTGATGCATTTCAATTAATTTCCTGTGGATTAGATGTTCATTTGGTTTATACATGTTTAATCAAATGTACAGGTAGGTCTCTCTCGGTCACTACACAAAACCTTCTTGGCGATTATTGCTGCTATTATTTTCATTAGAACCTTGCTTTTGTCTTCTCGTCTTTGGTCTTACTCAATCCCGCCCACCTCACCCACCATTTTTCTCCCGAATTTGCTCACCTGTCAGTTCCCACCCACCCATCATAAGACGGGTACCAACCAACGAATGTGTGAAGGCTGACATGTAAAGCCAGCCAACTGCATCTTTTTCAACTGCGTAACACACTTGGAGGAACTCGCTACCTGCCCTCTTACACATACATGCACTCTCAGACATGTAGGCTAGTGTTGCTCTGATTGACAGGCGAGAGAGAGAAAGGTCTTCGTGGCATCAATTTCTGGCTCAGTGCCTTGACTTAGTGTTGAGATTACATAAGGAATAATCTCTGTAATCCTCAGTGAGGCTATCGCTGAGTATTTTAAGCATGGCTGAGCCAAAGCCTGATATTCGGTTAATAATGGAGCCTATGTTCTATTTTCCGTTCTGTCTATAGCCTAGATATGCTTTAAATGAGGAAGGTGTGATGGATTGAGCTGTGTCCCACTTCCTTGTGGCTCATTGGCTTGTAATGTTGTGGTCTGTGTGAATATTCCTTTCTAATCGGACTTTGCCTAGGCCCTACCCAAGCCATGACCAAACAAATGCTTGCTCTGTTTTGCCTGCATGCTTTTGCACTGGATAAATGTCAGGCTTTTGGACGTTTGTCCATGAGCGCCAAAATGAATCCCTCATGGATAAGAAGGATTTTCTTTTCTCATTTCAGAGTGTAAATATAAAAACAAAAAACCCAGCTCTAATCTGCTATAAACCAGGTTATTGTGCTGTTGTGTTGAGGGCTGTAGTCATGGCTGTGGGTTCAGTCAATGGCATTTTATGGAGAGCGATCTGATTTATATTTTTTTATATGCCTGAGTAGTTGAGGGCCCAGCAATGGCAGCTTATCGTTGCTGGGATTTGACCTCACGACCTTTCAATCAGAAGTCGAATGTCTTAACCACCTAGCTACCACTTCCCACTTAATCGGTCCATCTGGATCAAATCGCCGCTAGTCTTCTTTAAGGCAAATCTCAGAACCCACAAGCTACCAGGATTTGGGTTTCTTGAAAACCCAACAAGGGTAATTTCATCGTTCTGTTTCCCTAAGCTCTATAGCAGCTTACAAGTGAGGCAGAATGAAATATATTCATGTTCTTGAGCAGTTCTTGAGAAGTTTTGGGATGCAACAGCAGAGCTGAGCACTTTAAGCACTGAGCGAGACTCTGTATTATGAGTTGATCATACGGTATCTAACTCTGCATTTGATGTCAGTTCTTCTCCAGGATGTTTTATTCATTAGTTTTAGGTGATTTTGGCCCAAAAAGAGTTGTTATGTGCATGTACTGATACTTAATCCGATGTCAGCACTTCAGCTCCACGGACTGTTGCATGTACGGGTCCTGCAAACAGAGGTGCATCTCCGTTAGATGTGATTCTGACCTTGAACTTGAACCTTGACCATTGAAGCCAAGTATTGTTTGGTGCCACTGTCTGACATCTGACAGTCACACCCATATGTGGTTCTTCTCCAAACTGTTGCCATAAAAGTTTAGAAGCTCGCAATTGTATAGAAGGTCTTTGCATGCTACAGCGTTACAGTTTCCCTTCACTTTGAAACTAAGAGGCCCAAACCTGTTCCACATGCCCCTGTTAAGGTTGGAGTGGAAGAACTTGAGTGTCCTGCACCTCAACCCCAATGAGCTGTAGTTCTAGCATATGACTGTTTGGTCATTGTCCAGTCGGTATGTTTTCTTTAGAGAAGAGTGCAAAATTTAGGAAAATATGGGCATAATTCATTCATTCTAAATCGCAAAATAGTGCAATGAAAGTATGAAAAAGTTCTGTCCAGAAGGATCTGCGATCCAATGAAATCAGTCCTCCATGTCTTCACTTTTTATGTAGAACGCGGCTACTGGAATAAGCAGGAAAGTTTGTACAAAGACGTACTCAGACTTAACCCGCATTACTTCGTCATTAGACATCTTTGCGTTACAGGTCATTATTTTAAAGTGATATGGATTAATTTAGACTAAATTTGAAAGGCTCCTAATAGGCTGACGGTCAAAAGCTTTCAAATCATTAAGCACATTAAAGTTACTTTTGCATGCAGCTTTAGACTTCCTGCAGAACTTCACTAAGGACCGAGCATCGGCAAGCAGGTGCTGCAACATGATCCAATACACATGAGAAGACTTGGTTCCTTTAGGGGAAATTAAATCAGGCTTCAGAGAAACTCTCAGGCCCGTGTAATGAAGTGAAGAATTATTCAGCTGTGCACTTAAAAGTTATAGCCTATGAAACATGAAGAATGATGAATACACCAAACTCTATTATACGCCATGATATTTTGAAAAAGAAATACCTCCCGAACTTTTTTTTTTTTTTTTTCCCTGTACTCTCAAATAATGATCGATCCATACCACGGCGCTGTCGAGTTCCCTTTCTGATTGCTCAGAAGGTGTTGATTAATTTTCTCCCAACAGCAGCTCTGAAAGTATAATGCGTTTAAACATTTCAATTACATTATCTCTACACTCAAGATCTAATGGATACTGTCTGATTTTTTAATTGAAGAAGCTTTTAGTCAAACTACTCTAAGCTTCGTGGTGAAGTCTGGACACAAAGTCGTCTCAAATAAACGCGTAATACCTGTTCGCGTTTATGATGTCATAAGTCAAACGTTTTGGTGGAAAAGGAAACGTGTTTGTGAGAAGAAAAAAAGGGAGGGGAGAGATGGGTGGACGACAATTTTTCCATCCTGAGCTCTTTGAGAACTTTAATCCAACTTGCAAATACAGAAATCTCAGCTCTTGAAAGAGTGTACATACCTGCCTTTTAAAGTATGTCCTAACTGGTGTTAACTGGATTTATCTTCAAACTTCCACCATACCTTACCGTCACTACGGTGTTTGTTTTTTATTTAACATAACCGCAGCTGATCTCGGCTTCTCTGCGAAAGGATGTCTGAGAAGAGAGCGGCCCAGCTAGAAAGGCCTTTTTCTGCGACGCGAGAGTGCGAAAGCAGTTAAACATATGGTTCTGCATTTCCAGGAGGACAGAGAAACACCTTGGAGACGAGCCTCCTGTGACAGAGTTTGGCACGTTGGCAATAAGGGAATGCATTGCCTGAAACATAGGGCATTTCTCCGTCACACAGACGCACGCTTGTATCAAATCCGTAATTTTATTTTATTTTTTATCTCACAGAAATCATTTACTCATCACACGAAGTACGGTGAAAGGATTTTTATGTATGTTTCAGATATCTGGATTATGTCTTAAAGCTGATTTAAAGCCATTAATCCTTTCAGCCGTTTGAAGTTTCTATTATGTACATGATCACACACGTAACCTTTGAGAAAAGAGCGAAGAGAACAAAAAGAGAAGGACGTTCTTTTAACTTTATTACAGTTATTGTTTAAACAAGAGGATTTGTTCTTGTGATTAAGGCATTGGACTACTGATTGGAAGGTCATGATAAGGTCAAATCCAGGCACTGCAAAGCTGCCACTCCTGGGTCCTCAAGCAAGACCTTTTAAAGGGATAGTTCCCACGAAAATGAATATTCTGTCCTCAATTACTCAACCTCATGTCGTTCCGAACCCATAAGACTTTCATTCATCTTCAGAACATGTAACCTTAACATTCAATCTCCAAAAAGTTCATAAAGGCATCGTAAAAGTAAACCATTCAACTCCAGTGGTTTAATACGACGAGACCCGGAAGCGCTGCACTGTTTACAGCAGAGGAAGAGGGACACTGTACACAAACTGAGTCACAAGTGCATACCATTTACCTAGGACAAGCTTTGTAACAACATTTTTTTTTTTGTACACTCAAAGTTCTCTCAAAGCATTCGTATTGCTTCATAAAATTGGGATTAAACCACTGGAGTCCCACGGTTTACTTTTACGATGCCTTTATGAACTTTTTGGAGCTTGAACGTAGGGCTGTGATGGTGGTGAGGCGCTGGGGGCGTGGTTTAGAGGGTGAATATCACTATATAATAATGTATCATTTTATAGGTTTAAATGAAATAAAACCTAAATATTAAATTAAAAAAAAAATTAAATGAGGCTTCATCGTTGCATGTCCGTCAGCGAAACAACTCGAATACTGCCTTGTTGTTGCAGTGAGAAACAGCCTGAGGGCGCTGTTGGGATACAGCGTTGTGATTGACCTTCAAAGAATAAGTGGATAATAAAGGGATGGAGTGAAACACATGCCCGTTTCTCTCTCTCGTTAGGCACGAATCCAAAATGTTCCCAGATCGCAGATGTAACATTTGGTTTCCCAACAAAATCCTTCGCACTGACAGAACCCGAAGTGAAGTAGCAGAATTCCCCTGACGGTTTTCCACGCTCAAACAAACCCGCTCCAAACTCACAACAGACAGCACCATATAAGGTGTTTGATTATGATTATGTAATTTGTATATTAATATAAAATCTCCCACTATATGTTAGGCTATAAATACAAAAATATTGCAGCTAATGTTGTTAATAATATTATTACACTGGTATGCAAAACGTTGTACTTTGTACTTAGTGCCCACACAAGCAGAAACATTAACGTGATGTGACACCACCGCGGTGGCAAACTACCACCACTGTGGTGTGGTGTGTTTGTCATGGCCACCGTCACAGCCCTACTTGAACGTTTTGGTTACTTGAACTGTAAACGGGGGAACAGAAATCTCCCAGGTTTCACTCAAATGTTTGGAACGACACGAGGGTGAGCGTTGACGGAATTTTCATTTATGGGTGAACTATCCCTTTAACCCGCAACTGCTGAGTTGTATAAAACGAAATAAAATGAAGTCGCTCTGGATAATGGCGTCTGCCAAATGCCATAAATGGATAATTACATAAGCATCAAGTTATGACTAGTAACCTGGTCCTGTGGGAATATGTTCAGACTTTAATACAAAAGATTTTCCTGGTTCATACCCTGAGCATTTTTTTTATTCCGATGTGACAGTTTTGCGTAGTCTAAGCGACCTTCTGTCTAATCCAGACCGTCTGCACAATTCTTGCCTTGATTATACCGGCAAACAAATAAATAAACCTCCAAGCTAACGTATTAACAGGGTCTACGGAGGATTGGATGTCTTTTATATAATAGGTCTTCTGTGTTTTGTCAAAATACATGACGATGTCATTGCAGATGAATTGTTTTACCTCTCACAATGTGATTTACCACGCCTGAAAGAAGAGACTGCGTATAAAACAGTAGATCGGATATCAGAGAAAACGGATTGGATATCGGATCCCGTAACGAATCCACCCAGATTGGAAATGGATTTGGATAAAGAAATTTAGTTTTAGTACTGGAAATGTTTACGTATAAAGAGATTGATTTTGTTATATGTATATGATTATAATTTATTGTACAGTGTTTTTTGTGTGAAAGAATTTAACTATGAAGTGTTGTTAAAAAAAAACCCAGCTTGGTAGTTTTTAAAGAAAACGATATCGGACGAGCATCGGTATCGTTGATAAAGGTTTTGGAAAAGAAAAAATTATATAATGCTGGGGTTTTTTCCATGCAAAAAAGTATTAAGTCTGCGGAAGTCTGTTTCCTTCTTAATTTGCACAAATTTACCGTTCTTTAGGTTTTAATAGCTAGGTATGGATTATCCCTTAGTATCTCAGAATGATTAAAAAGATTCATAAAATACTGACATAACCACAGTGAAGTTCTGCAGCTCTCCCTACATAATGCATTTGTTCGGGGACAATGGCTTAAATGATTTTTATATATGTGTGTATATATATATATATATATACACACACACACACACACACTGTGGCAAGAAAAAGTATGTGAACCTTTTGGAATTTCATGGTTTTCTGAATACATTTGTCATAAAATGTGATCTGAACTTCATCTAAGTCAGGGGTATTGACAAATATAATGTGTCTAAAAGAATAACACAAAAATTCTGATCTCATATATTTTTTATTGAACACACTC